AACAAGTGCTTGAAAACTACTACTCAGATTCATAATAAAAAGGGTCCCTACTCCTCTTTAGGTGAACATTAGGGACCCCAATTCATAAGACTATTGAATTACCAACTTGACAAAACAAAGTTTTAGCCATTTTCTGTTAGAATGTCTTAATCGTTGCTCTGATGACAATATCCAATCGTCCACTCCAGTATATCAAATATTATGGTACATTGAATTTAACATGATCGAAATCAGGTCATATTTTACATAGTGTATAAGTTGACGTATCGACCAACCGCTCATTTCCAGCTTGGATTACTTCACAAATACAAAGGGATATTCAACCTTGAAAATTCAAGAACACTCTGTTAACAAATAAAAAGGACTCTGAAAGTGAAACAAAAATTACAATCAGAGGCCACAAATCAAAATCATACTTCAACAATCCAAGCACGGGAATATTAAGGGGCTGGGCTCCAATTTGGGGTGAAAAAAAACACACACACACACACAATCAGAGCCATAATCTCCACAGTCCATTATCTGCCTACACATATCATGTACCTCTACATGTTATTCTTATATGCTGTGTATAAAACCATAATCAACTTTTTTTTCCTTAAATTATAAGCAAATTTCACACCACAATTTTAACAGTCAGATTATGCAACATCGGGCCGGGCCAAACGGGACATCAGCCCAATTTTCTCTTCTCTTTCATTGAATTCATTTTGTCCAGTTTCCATTCATCTCGCAGCCTGGCTATGAAAGTGTCAGCCTTGGCATTCACATCCGGGCTCGGGCAAGAAACTGAAGGCCCGATTGAATCTCCACCTTCGGATTTGACTGACATCAGATCAAAATCTTCAATCTCCGGCGGTGGGGAGCTGCACTGGGAGCTCTGCGCGCTGCTTATCTTAACGAAATCTCCACTTGCCACGAATTTCATTTCCTTCATTTTGAATGGTGGTGGAGGAGGTGGCATTGGTATAAGGGGAGATGGTGGTGCGATGATGACGCTTTCATTGTAGTAGGAGCTTGTTTTGTTGGGTTTTGGAGGTTTCCCGGCGTTGACAGAGTGGTACCGCCTGGGTTCCAGTGGTGCTGGAGGCGGTGTGCTTATGTTCCTAAAACGGCGGCTTTTGGTTCCATTTTTGAATAAAGAATTGAGAATTGAAGGAGGTGGAGGAGGAGGAGGCGGAGGTGGTGAAGTCGTGGAAGATGATTGGGACCGCTTGCTTTTGAAAATATTGTTGAAAATTGAGTTTGGTGGCGGAGGAGGGGGCGGGGGAGGTGGTGCTGTGTTGGAAACGGAATGTACACGTTTATTCTTGCCACTCTTTTTGAACAGGTTTTGTAAAACCTTAGATGGTGGCGGGGGTGGGGGTGGGGGCGGAGGCGGAGGCGGAGGTGGAGGAGATGGTGCTGCTGTACCTGACTGTTCAGGTGAAGAATACTCGGAGGCGGAGGCGCTGTTATAAATATTTCTAGTTTTCACTTTCTTCTTTCTCTTCCTGTGACTTTTGATGTACAATGAAGCAATTGCAGTTGCTATTTCTTTGGTGGTGCCACTCTTTTTCCGGTGAATTATTTCCCTTTTTACCTCCGGAAATTGCGTGTTTGCTACTGGTGGAGGCGGTGGAGGCGGCGGAGGTGGTGGTGGCGATCTTTTTTCATTAAATTCGTCCTCATTCCTCTGCTTTTCAAAATTTTCTTTCTTTGGGACGCTTCTGGAAGATCTTCTGCGCTTCAAACTCGCTGCAGGTGGTGGCGGAGGAGGTGGTGCTGCAGGCGATTTTGGCGGTGTCGGATGTGGGGGTGGAGACCGTGGAGTTTCAACTTTATAGTTATCCACCGGTATCACCTTCACAATCGTCTCAGGCTCGTCACTCTCCACCTCACTCCGCGGAGCATGGCGATGAAAATGTTCATCCACCGGCGAATTACGATAAGATTTCACCTCAAAATCATCAAAAAACCTGAACCTATTATCCCGAATTTCCCACAAAGACTCCTGCCTCAGATCAGGATAAGAGCTGCTACTCCTCCTCAGCCGTGCACCACCGCCGTTTCCCACCGGAGTACTCATAATATTATCGGAAAAACCATACCACTGAGAACTCGAAACAGATTCCTTCGTCGGCGCCGGCGGCCTAGCAAAATCAGAAACTTGTGAAACATTTAAGTCCTGTAAATCAGCTTCATCAGATGGTGGAACCTCATCATTTCTTCTGGCAAAAACGCCACAAATAATTGCAAACAATACCAACAAGATGTTGAATGAATCCCAGCTCTTTTTCACTGAATTAGGACGAAGAATTTGAGTGGTGTGTGAAAGAAATGGAGGGACCAAGAAAAACATAATCACTACTATGAGAATTGGTACGGCCAGAATTAATGCCACCGGGTTGAAGATTGGAGAAGGCTGCCTGCGGCGGCGGTGAGGGTTGAAGAAGGTGGTGGCGGTCTGCTGAGACCAGAACGGTGGTAAGTCTCCATCTGCATCCATGGCACGGAGGACGCGTGTGTGTTCCCTTGGAATTGAGTATTGGTTGTTGCTTTTGGTTTTGGTAGAATGGAGTTTTAAATCTTTTTGGTGGGTTGTGGAGTGGGGTGTAGGGCGTGGGTGCGTGGAGTTTTAAAATGCTGTACAAACAGCATTTTTCTAGTATTTAATACTAGGTGGGAATTGAGCAATTAAGAAGTATACTATTCAAGATGAATTTAGGGAGTGTTCGGTAGAGATTAAAATTGGATTAAAATTGAAAAATTAGTTGTTATTGTTGACTTTTATTAGACGAGAGGGATCCAATAACGACTATATTTTCAATTTTAATTGAATTTTAAGCACGACCGAACAAGCCCTTAAGCTAGTTGTCCCGTTTGACACCATTTTGAGAGGGTTAAAATCGATGTCATTGATTTAATTGAGTGTTGTTAAAATCAATAGTTAAATTGTGTGTCGTGTCAAATAGTGTAAACAAAATTGTCGATTATGGTGTAAATGTAGCAAAATCGATTCAAAATTTATATGATAATACATTGAATTAAGACTCGGTGTTCTAAAAAGTTCGGGCAAAAAGCCTCGTTTCGAGACTAGACTCTTTTTTTTATAAAATTCTTAAACGATTGGATTTCTTCATTCATCTCTTTCATCTTCCTTATGCGCGCTTTATCAGTTTTTTTAAACGTCTTTTAGATTATTAATTTTTTATTTTTTTAAAAAAAATCATTTGATTTCAAGTTTTAAAATATGTTATTTGTACAAAAATTAAAAATAACTTTATCTAAATAGTTAAATAAGATTTAAACTAAGGTGTTATTTACATTATGTAATTATAATCTTGAGACTCGTTATTTTATTGCAAACCCTAAAAGCATGTATGGAATTTCTATAATTCTATTAAATAGGATTTGTCTGATTGAAAATTGAAAATTGAAGCTTTGAAAAAATTCTAATTTTTACATTTCGAAAACTTGAAAATTGTATAATTGATTAAGGGTATGAATTATTAAGTAAATATATTATTTTATAATTTTAGATGTTTGATATGTATTATTTTAATTATTGAATGATTTAAAATGATTAAAATTTTAAAATAATATTAAAAATAAGAAAAACGTTTCTTTTTTTTTTTTTTTACTTCTAAGGCTCGTCTAGCTTGTTTCAGCTTATAAAACTTGAAACTTCGCCTCCAAGTCTAATTACACTTTACATTTTTTAGAACACTGTTAAGATTTGACTAAAAAAAGAAACGTTTCAAGTATGTTTAGTTACCAATATGAAATGAGTTCAAAAGTATTGTTAAATCTCATCTAGCACTATGTACCAAATATGCTAAATATCGTACTATCAAAAGTTTAAAACAAGGAAAGAAAATGGGAGAAAAATAGAATTGAGTTGGGTTGAGCAGTAGTAGTATGATTGGAGCGTGGTTGTAATGATTGAAACAGGCTGCCCTTTTACATCAAAACACCAATGCACGCCTTTACCATCATCAACTTTCTTGAAAGAAAAAGAGTTCTTTTACCATATATCATATCCCATTCATTTGTTGGGGGCGTTTGTTTCTCATGCTTCATTTTTTTTTTTTACCTGCATCCACCCACCACCTATTCCTTCCCCTTCATATTTCATAAAAAAATTAGGTTTCATTAGTTAATTATTTAATAATTTTAGTATTTTTGAATGTGATGATACTCTAATTCCAATGCCATTGTCAAAAGGCACCCAATTAACTTTATTTGTTGGGTTCTTTTGCATTTTTTGCATTTGAATACAAGCATGGACAAAATTGAATTTTTTAAAATTAAAAAAAAAAAAAAATTCAAAGCTTGTTTGATAATCATTATTATAGAAAAAAGAGTTTTTAATAATGATTTTTAAGAGAATGTATGGTCAAAAAACAAAGAAAAGTTTTTGATATACATATAAAATATTTTACTATGAGAATGTGTGGTTGAAAATAATCTTACAGCAAATCATAAAATAAATTAACGGGTGTCGAACAGGCACTATACGCACACTTGCACTTTTTATGAGTTTAGTGTTGCATTATTAGAGTTCCATTCTTGGCGCTTTCCTATGGAATAAAAGATGAGCAAATGTCATTTTAAAAGGATATTTTACTTCATTAGCCAATGTTTTGTAACTTTAAAATGTGATTTTGATTCAAGTATACCAGACAAAGAACAGAAAAGAAAATAAGATTTCACATCAATTTGACCAAGTTCAATTGGTTGATAAGACTACTCTTGTACTTAATCAAGAAGGAAACAATTGTAAACTCTAAAATATTCCATTATGCCTTTCAATTTTAGAAAGGGGCTTTTGAAATTATTCACCGTTATTTGAATAATTTCCATTTGAGTGATTATTTTTTCCAAGAAACCCTTTTTCGTTATGTAAAATCTTTACAAGGTCGTATTCCATCAATCTTACAAGGTGAATTATACATTTCAAAGGTAATAAATAGTTTAAAACGTCACTAACTCATCGAATTTAGTGTCCGTAATCAAATCTTACGAGGAGTCTTCGTGTAATTTGATCGAGTTTATAATTCAGATAACTTACTTAGTGGGTTTTTTATGGTGATTAAAATTAAATTTTTAGTAGATTGTGATAGAAGTGTTTGAAATGTTGTGCGACCCATGAAAGATGTAATTAATATTAATTGTTTGACTTTTACTTAAATTAAAATTTGATTTTACTTCGAAACAAACACAGCCTTAAAAAGTTATTATCTCCCTACATACAAGATTATTGTAATATTTGTGTGTTAATTTATGTGTATAATCCTGAAAAGAAGGCAAAAAGTTAAACAAAATATTGCCTCAAAGCTGTGTTCGGATTACAAGAGTCCATCTTACTCAATTATGTTCATTTTAAACAATGGTCTTGTTCAAACTTAAACAAAGAAAACAAAAGGTCCCATGACTCATTACTCATGGTGCAAGAACACTATAATGTATTTAATTGTATGGTTTATTCTAAAGCACTTGAAAATTTACAAATTATTTTTATAAAAATCATATATTTCTCAATAAAATTATCAATTCGTAATATGATCGAAGTGTTGGATTATAACGTAACATGCTGCTTCAATAACTCGATATGAAAGACGAATTGCTCAACATTTCTAATTGATCGATGGAAAAAATAGGTTTAATTAATTACGATGCTTTCCATCATATTCTTACATTGAACCCATCTATTGCAACATGAATTTTATAAAATTTATTTCGTCTAAAAGTTTAAATTATTAAAAAATAAGTATTTATTGTATCCTATTCGCTAATCGCTCCATCCGGTGGCGGAGCCAAGACAAAAAACTAGAGATGACCTAATCTAACTATGAGAAAAATTTTCAATCACGAAATATAATATTAAGCCCATATTGGTAGGAATTAGAATTCAAATTTTAATATAAGTCGAAGTCAACAATTGATTTTAACTACATGTTCATGGGATCTACAACTTTTAATTGTATATTTCATTAATTTTTATTAAATTTTATTAAAAATCTGATCTTAATTCCTATCAAACGAGGGCTAAATATAAAAAATAAAAAAATCATTTTTTTTCATATTGCTGTGGAAAAAAATATTAAATTTCTCTAAATATAAAGTAGGGTCTCTTAATTTTTAATAAAAAAATTGGAAAAAGACAGTAATCCCTCTCCTACTCCAAGTTTCTTCAACACCTACATTCAATCGACGGCCTCTGCAGTTTCTCACGTGACAATTCAATCTTACCCATTAAATAATTACTCATATATTAATCATTTACTTTTTTTAACCAATACCTTTTCTTTTATTGATTTTCTAATCTTAAACAATAATAACCACACATTAATTCAAACCGCGGGCAGAGTGAATACGTGTCAATAAATATATCATATGATAAACATGCTAATTACATAAATTATTAGAGTTGAGGTGCATGGAGATGAAAGATGACCCTTCAAGTTTTTTTATTTTTATTATTATTTTTTAAATTACAAACTATTAGAATTGCCATTTCTGGTTCCATGATTGTGTGAGAAGTAAAAATCAAATTTTAACATGATGATTTCGACTAAGTTGATAAGAGTATGCATGAGTCACCTTCTTCTAAACCTTCGTCGTATAAAATTTTTTATGACAATTTTTAGAAAACGAAAATGACAATTAATAAAGAAAATGGGCCATATCGAACATGTGTGCTTATATGTGAAATATTGTGTATAAATTAAAGACTATCAATTTTGGTTAAACCCGTTTAAAGTGATCTAACAAAGTTTCAGTATTTTGGGGTTTGAAGTATCTCATTAAAATATGAGCCTTTATGTGTAGAGATTAAGCATGTTCTTAATTTCATAATGGGCTGAATTAGGTTAATGGACCGTTAATATATATATATACGGTTATGATCCCCGGATCACATGTGAATTGTGCATTCTTTCTGATTCTCATCATCTGAGAGAAATAAAAAATTACGTGTTGATTTAGAAGATTAAAATCGCATAACTAAATCATTGCATTAACTATGTTTGATTTAGGTACGCTTTCGCTTTGGTTTACATATTCTTGATGATCCATCATGAACGATCATTATGACGGTAGAGTTTTCCTAACAACCTTTTCTTGTTCCATGATTGTGCGAGAAGTAAAAATCATATTGTAACATGATGATTTTGACTAAGTTGATAAGAGTATGCAAGAGTCACCTTCTTCTAAACCTTCATCGTATAAAATTTTTATGACAATTTTTAGAAAATGAAAATGATAATTAATAAAGATTTTGTTTATACGAATGGACATGTGATATTATTCTACATATGCAATAAGTTATTGCAACTCCACATAGAAATCTTAGAATGATTAAGG